AGAGAGAGAAAGTGATGAGGTCATGTTACACTTCATCATGTTCTCGTCACACACACACACACACACACACACACACACACACACACACACACGCACACAGAGATTACAGTCACGGTCAAAGCCTTTAAGTATCCAATTATGAGTGTTTTGACTTCTTCTAATGTTGCGTATAGGAGACTCTCGTGTGTGATTGTGTTACAAGTCATGGAGATGTAAATATGTTCAGACAGCCTCATTTTAGGAACTTTAAGATGTTAACTGTAACATTTTAGGGTTTATATTTTAGGTTTCAATCGTTTTTGTTCAATCATGAGCACCAGACTTTATTTACTGGTTTGTCCGACTTTCTTAAGATTTAGGGTGTTTTAGATGTATTATTGTTGTTGACTTAATAATGAGACATTTATACTAATATTGGGAAACCGGAGTGCCTTGCCCATGGGACCATCTATTTTTCTCTAAATGGGACCATCATTTACTAAATGAACATCATACTGTGTTTTAGAATACTTGAAACTACAGATTGAGACCATTAACTCTTCAGGGAAATGTTTACTGAGGAAATAAATCTAGTGAGAAGTTGGGTTACTTTTTCATAGACTTCTTTTCAATCTGTTCTGTTCTGTTAAGTCCCCTGCTGGCTATTAGAGAGAATGCATGTTTAAAGCACTCTTAGTCACTTGCCATTCATACATTTTCCATTTTTGTCTATTTCAGGGCCAACTATAACGGTGTTGATCTGAACAGAAACTTCCCCGATGCGTTCGCTGGTCTCCGGAAACAACCGCAGCTGGAAGAAAGTAGGCGGGAGGCAGAGGTTAGTGTGTTGAGATGCAAAAACAATTAGCAAAAAAGGGTAGAAATCCCTTATAAAGGGGGTTCATTATGTAAACTTCGCAAGAGGAATTATTGTGAATGAATCCATCACTAACAATAGCCCTTCATAAAATACACTATTAGTCTTGTTGTTTTTATAAAAATGCAGAGTATCCTCAGCATTATCTGTTAAAAAATATTTTTCAAAATTGGTTGTCTGGTTGCTCTGTGATTGGTCGGTTGTTGTGTCATGTGTTACAGGTCAGAGCTGTGATTGGCTGGTTGAAGATGGAGAGTTTTGTTCTCTCTGCAAACCTTCATGGAGGAGCTCTGGTGGCCAGCTATCCCTATGACAACAGCAACGGAGGTACATACACACACACACACACACACACACACACACACACACACACACACACACACACACACACACACACACACACACACACACACACACACACACACTTTGTAATACATGTAAGTCGTCTTACAGCAGTATGACTCTAAGTTTGTTGGTTTAGAGTTGTAAACTCTGTGAAAAAACAAAACTTGGTGGTCCTCGAAAAACCAATAGCAATGTTTTGTTATTTGTTTTTTTAAGATGAGCTTTTCCTTTTTATATAAAGAGTGACGCACAGAGATGGAGAGACAGGAAACAGGCTCTTAGACTCATGACATTGTTGAGCAGCGACAGATAAATAAACAAGTTTAGTAGAACAACTTTCCCACACACTCAAAACCCACTATTTGCCCCTCTTGTTTGTTTGTTTGTTTGTTTGTTTGTTTGTTTGCTTGTTCACCATGTAAAGCGGCCGTGGGTCCCTTGAAAGGCGCTGTACACGTTTAATATATTATTATTATTATATATTTATTTCTGCAGGTAGTGAGCTGGTGGGCGGGGCCAGTGTTAGCCCTGATGATGATGTTTTTAACCACCTGGCGAAGGTTTACTCCCATAACCATGGCTCCATGCACCGCGGGGAGCAATGCCGCGACAGCGGACCGTTTCCGGAGGGCGTAACCAACGGATACCTGTGGTACTCAATCTCAGGTGAGCACCATGCATAAAGTTTCACCAGATAGGGACAATAAGCAAGCGGGGTGCAGGAGTGAGGCCTAAAAGCCCGGAATGAGTCCGAGTTTTACCACTTCCCGTCCCCTGGTGTGAAAGTCAATGGTGCTTTGAGTGTTTTTGTGGTTGTTAGCCTGAAATAAGGTCTGTTGTTAACAAAAACTGAAGAGATTTGTATTCTACAACATCAAATAAGTCAGTAAATATCCCACTGGTGAATTTAAAAACAGCGGTTGCTAACAAGTGTCTAAATGAGACGATCAAACATCATCACGCCCAACATTAGCCGCCTTTAGCTTAGTGATGGTGACGTGAAGTCATGTGACCGTGCTGTAGTTCCTTTGTAGCCCAACATTAGCCGCCTTTAGCTTAGTGGTGGTGACGTGAAGTCATGTGACCGTGCTGTAGTTCCTTTATAGCCCAACATTAGCCACCTTTAGCTTAGTGATGGTGACGTGAAGTCATGTGAGCGTGCTGTAGTTCCTTTGTAGCCCAACATTAGCTTTTTACTTCAGAAATGTGGTTTATTTATGTTAATATGAGGAGATTATCCTGCTGAACTAAACGTGTAAAAATCATAAACGTTTGTTTTCTGCTATAATCCGTAATCATGTTGAGAAATCCCATTGGCTTTGGAAGTAGTTTATGATCCAACATCAATATGGTCTCTAGTCAGCGTGAGTTTGATTCCTAGAGGGACGTCAGTGGAAACATCAGGCTCTGGTTTCCTGCTGCAGAAATCTGATCTGCAACACGATCGCTGAACTGACAGAGACTGAACCTGAGAGAACTGAACACTGAAGGCTGAAAAACATCCACTGTACAGATAATTAAATGTTAATTAAGTTAAATTCACCTTAAATCACTTCTGGCTTTGTGTCATGTCATAATCAAAGTAGTTTGGTTTACATAGTGTGCATTTAATACGTCCAACCCTGGCTGTTAATCATACATTTTATATTGAAATGTGTTTCTGTACTTCTTGTTTTGACGTTTTATTTGCATGAGTTAGGTTTTAATTGTATTCCTTTGTTGGCAGTTATTGATTAATCTCCCTATCATTTTTCTACGTCTCTAAATCTCTTGTTTTAGTCAGTCCAAACGCAGTTATAATCATATAAAAACCTGGATATTCGTATATATTATCCGGGTTAGTGCAGGTCAAAGTGTCCTAGTTTTATTATCCAGTATTTATTTCAATGTTATTTACATGACATGGCTTGCAGTGCACACTTAGTCAAAATTAGACCCCATTAAATTCATGCAAAGTAACCCAGTAAATGAATTGTATTATAAAGACTTTGTTTTACATTTGGAAGAGAGATGTATTTCTCTTGGACAGCCAATTTGCACATTTGTTTAGCTTTTAAAATCATTTTGCAGCTTTATTGTGGTGGAATTTGTGTGTTGTAATTCTGTATTTATTCAATGGAGAGGCAGCCAGGACACTTCCTAAAACAAAACGTGTCCATTCTTCACAAAAACTGCTCAAACAACCGGAAGAAAATACGTTTACACTCGTTGCAAAGGAGCACAACTTTGTTTTCAAGGGTTAGAACATTGTTTTAAAGGTCCCGTGTCACGGCCATTTCTACTGATCATAATTCCATTGTTGAGGTCTACTAGAATAGATTTACATTTTCAATGTTCCAAACTCACATTGGTTTCTCATCCAGCATCTCTGTATAGTATGTGTATTCACTCTCTGTCCTACACGGCTTGTTGGAGCTCCGCCCCCCCTCCCTCCCTGTGAGCCCAGTGTGCTCTGATTGGTCGGGATGTTGCGAGGCTCGTTGCTGCGAGGAGCGGACAGGTTTCCGGGTCGGCGATACAGCGAGAACAAGCGAAACTCATCCTGAGCACACACAAACACTCACAGCCGAAGTAAAAACAATAAGTGTGGCTTGATATTGAGAAAGAAAAAGGTTTCTAACGCTGTGAGAATGGGTCTGCGGAGAGCATTTCTCCCCCATCCCAACTCGTCTATTACCAACCAGGGAGCTCTATGCAAGTCAATGGGACTCCCTGTTAGTTAGCCAAGGGGTCCTGGTGTGTGAGGTTCTCCGCGGATTGGTCCATTTGGGCCAATCCGGTCATTTGTTGTTGATTTGAGTGTTCACACGTCACAGAACCCAGGAAGCAAACTATGGAAAGAGAGAAATGTCCAACGAGGC